TTTCCCTGGTTGCATGAACAGACTTGCAAGTGCCAAATTAAAGGTTGCTTTGCATGGGTACTTGGATTATGACCACCACTGCTGTGCATTTTATGCCTACTAAAATAGCATCTACAAACTGTTCCATAGATAAGCTCAAACACTTCCATACTATGAAGCTGAAATTTAAAATTGTTGAAGAAGAAACTCAGTTTTGTCCAAGTTAGTGAGGAAAATTTACTTGCATTTCTTATTTAAAAAATATCTAGGTAGGTGCTGAACCCCTACAATGTTTTGACAAATTTCAGCTCCATGTATGCTAACTCAAAAGCTGTTTGGCATGTATGAGAAGAGCCACATAGTGCACTGACAAGTACACACACGCTTAAATTAAGACTAAAATATGCCCAATCAAGTAGAATAAAGTTTGCCTTCACTGGATAAAAGATTTTGGTAAGATTATACAATAGCATATAAAAGTTTCATAACTAATTCTTATGGTACTGTACATTATATGTGAAGCACATTGGTATTCAGATGGAAAGGCTTACATCACCACTGAAACAAACAAGCGGCTCCACCTAGAAGCAAGCAAGTTTCCATTATGAACATATGGGACATAATACAAGCGTGCCATTGATATTAAAGTCTTTAATAGGATACCTGTGATTCATAACATTGTCACATTTACGACTCTCATCACATTAATAAGATTTCAGTTTTCATGCAGATAGTTCTACTGCTATCCAGAGCGAGTTATGCACAAAAGGCTGAAGAGACCACTTCTCCACAACTCAAGGAAGTCAAACACCTCCCTGCAGGCTTGTTTTGAGTTGTTTATTGAGGTTTAAAGAAGTTATCCACATTTCTATAAATATAGACATTACTGAGTAAGTGACTTTCAATGTCACTAGTGCAGGTACATATAACCAACATACAAAAGCTCCACTGGAAGCTACTTCAGTTCTTTCAAAGGACTAGGGCATCATAAAAAGAACAGCTGTCTCTTTCAATTATTGAAGACACTAAAGTGCATTTTTGGTTACTTTCTGGACAAACAGCTGCCAGCTATAAAGTTTAATTTTACACAGATATCTATAAGTTACAATGATTAAACATTCAGATTTGTAGCTGTTATCCTCCTAATGCATGGCAGTAGGAAAGAGAATGCATTAAACTTTGCTGGTTGATTAAGATTGATCTTGCATTGTTCCTTTTAATTTGACGCTTCTAACAAAATTTAAAAAGACAACCTACCATTCTGAAAAGTTTTACAGCACCACTAAAGTTAGTCTTAAAATCCAGGCTCTACTTTAGCCCTTTCAACTGCTAATCAGATATCTAAAATGTCCAAAGTTCTGTACCAGTAAGAAAAACTATTCTCCCTTTCCTGTCAGACGCTATCCCGCCCAGTTAACACTGTTTGCACACTTTGTAAACAAGAACAGCTTAAAGCATAATTAGAGCAGAACACAGGCCCATCTTTAACTTGTTTTCCCATAACATCAAGTGTTTCAAGTGTATAAAGCTTTGCTACGTTCCTAACTGAGTACTGCAAGAATCATAATTAAAAACGGGTATAATGAGAATGACCTAGCAGTACAATTTCATTAAGACTAGACATTCTTGGAGATTTAAAAAATAAAATAAAAAGTGCTCTGCCACTTTTTGTTCTTTTTACTTCAGTTTTATTGCCAAGAATCCTGAACTGGTAAAAGCCACTGGAGTGCTTAGTTGCTCCATTTATCTCCCTTACTACAACCACTAATTTTCTTTTCTGTTTTTTTTTCTTCTCCAATAAGTTGGAGTATATCACATTAAGTTCTTTTATGAGGAGCAAGCAAGATTTCTTGAATAATTTTCCTAATTATGACATAGGAGTATGCTCTACACCTGATTAGCACTGAATAACAATGCATGGCTATTTCTAAGCAAACCTACACACCAAAACATGCCACATGTTGGGAAAACTGATCCATGCTCCTGCGTATTGTGTACACTTAAGTTCACTTAAGAAGTCTTTCTTTTATCAGAGTCCACAGAACTGAAGTTTCAAGTAAAAAAAAAAGTATTTGTACTAAGTGGTTAGACTTTAAAAAAAAATAGTGTCAATTAAAAACATTGTAGCCAATTCTCCTATGGGGAGGGAGGGGAGCCAAACAAGTTAAAAAAAACCCAGGCTACATACACGTTGAAATTAAAGTTTTTAAAGCTGCATATGTTCACCTAAACACTCCACTTATGAGCATTAAAAAAATCCCAAGCAAATACTGAATACCTTTAATGCAAATTGCTTGCAAAAAAGGCACCTTTCAAATATATGAATACAATACTAAGTAGAAAATCCTTCCTTTATTTGGCTATCTAGACATCCACGTCACATATACCCACCCATCTGTTTCCTGATCATTTTATGCTATCTGTGAAGAAATGCAGTGCCAGAAAACTTGGATATTTTCTTTTTCTTTTTTTATAAAAACAAACAAAAAAAAAAAAAAGGTTCCTGGTCTGCACAACCTGGTAGGAGGTGCAGTTGCGTAAGTCATGGTTCAATGTAACTGAGCTTAACAGCATCCCAGCAGCAGCAGCAGCAGTCGGCCAGGCACGGGAGGCTGTTTCACATCAAATTCAGACCACGAGCTCCTGTAAGCGAGCGGCGGGAGGAGGGGGGCTCATCTCTTCTTTTTCTGCTGCCGCAACATTTTCCTCCGCTTGATGATCATATCGTGCAGCTTCTCTAGTCCCTCCTTGAGTCCGTCGCCAATGATGGCACAGGTGGGCTGCAAGTGCCAGGGCGTGGAGGAGCCGAGCTCGCCCAGCGCCAGCATCTTCTCCATTTCGGAGAGAGGCAGCGAGTTCCTCAGGTCCTGCTTGTTGGCCACCACGAGCACGGGCACCCCTTGGTTCTCCGAGATCCGAGTGATCTTGTGCAGCTCGGTCTTGGCCTCCTCCATGCGCTCCACGTCCACCGAGTCCACCACGAAGACGATGCCATCGGTGCAGCGCGTGTAGGACTTCCACAACGGCCGCAGTTTCTCCTGCCCGCCCACGTCCCAGAAGTGGAAGGTGACGGCGCGCGAGGAGCCGCCCAGCGTCACCTTGATCTTCTCCGTGTTGAAGCCCTTGGTGGGCACCGTGTTGACGAACTCGTTGAACTGCAGGCGGTAGAGCACGGTGGTCTTGCCGGCCGCGTCCAGCCCCAGGATCACGATGTGGAAGCACTGGAAGGCAGGCAGGCTGGACAGGAGTGGCGCCTGCTCCGACAGCCCATTCCCCATCGCCGGCGGCGCCGGGACCGCGGCCGGGGCAGGCAGGCGCGGGCTCCCCCGCTCGCCCCGTGCCCGGGCCCTGCACGCAGGACGAGGAGGCGCCGCCGGCCCAGCCAGGTGCGCGGACGCTGACGTCAGCTTCTGACCCGCACAGCCCCACGGATACCGCTACCACTGCCGCGCCTCTGCCGGGGCTCAGACCTAGCCCCGCTCGCCTGCGCCCGCCTCCCCGGCTCGCGTCTCATTGGTCGCCTCTCACTCCGCCCGCTGCTCCGATTGGCCTACGCTCCGCCGCTCACCGCCGGCACCTCCCCTCCACTTCCACCTGGGCGGGGGGAGGTGGTGCCAGCCCCGCCCCCTCCGCTGCGGGGCTCAAGCACGTGCCCCGCCCCTGAGCGCTTCCCGCGCCGCTCATTGGCCCCAGCCGCCGCTGCTCAGCGGGGCGTTCCGCCCATACCTGGCCGGAGATGCGGCTCGGCTCGGGACTGACAGGGGCTAGCGGGCTGGCGGCTGGGGAGCGGGCTCCTCATTGGCCCCGCCGCGCACCCGTCTCCTAGCAACGCGCTTCAAATGAGGCCGGCGGGCCCAGGCTCCCTCCCCCCGCGCGCCGTTGCCGAGCACGTGACACCGCCCCCCCCGGGTCTGCTTCCCCCAATGCAAGACAAGGGACTTTTTGCTGAGGAAGGGGTAGACTTGGGTTTAAGTAAAAACAGTAAGTGTGTTTCATAGTTGGTAGGGTCGGAAGGGACCTAAGCAGATCAGCATACCCGACCGCCTGCCAGCTGCAGCACTGCAGAAAAGGACTTGGGGGTTACAGTGGGTAGTAAGTTGGATATGAGCCAGTAGTGCGTGTTTGTTTCAAAGAAAGCTAACGGCACGCTGGGCTGCATTAAGAGTGTTGCCAACAGATCAAGGGAAGTTATTATTCCCCTCTTCAGCAGTGGTGAGGCCAAATCTTGAGTACTGTGTCCAGTTTTAAGGTCCCCTGCTACAGAAAGGATGTGGACAAATTGGATAGTTCAGTAGTGGGCAATGAAAATGGCTCAGGGGCTGGGGAACATGATTTATGAGGGGAGGGTGGACTTATTTAGTCTATAGAAGAGAAGACCCAGGTGGGGGTGGGATTAAATAGCAGCCTTCAACTACCTTGAAGGGTGGTTCCAAAGAGGATTGAGCTAGACCAGGGACTGGCTCCATTTTCCAGCAGCCCTTGCCTGTGTTTTTGTGGCCAGTTTCCACGAAGACCCCAGCAGTGACAGTGCAGGGCCGGGGTTTCCACAGAGACAGGCCTGAGCAGCACTGCCACAGCACATGGCTGAGCAGGAAGCTGCTCGAGCTGGGATCTTGCAGTACAGTTCCCGCACAGCTGCATGCCCTGTCCACACTGCTGGGGCCAGTCTCTGTAGAGATCCTGGCCCCATGTTGCTGGGGTCTCCATGGAAACTGGCTGCAGCGATGCAGGCAGGAGCTGCTGGGAAATGGAATCCAGCTGCCAGCCGGATCCATCTTTTTCCCCACCTCTGAGCTAGACTGTTTTCAGTAGTGGCAGAATACAACAAGGAGCAATGGTCTCAACTTGCAGCAATGGAAGCTTAGGTTGGATTTTAGAAAAAGCTTTCTCACGAGGAGGGTAGTAAAGCACTGGAACGGCTTACCTAGAGAAGTGGTGGAATCTCCATTCTTGGAGGTTTTTAAGGCCCAGCTAGACAAAGCCTTGGTTGGGATGATCTAGGTGGGGACGGTCCTGCTTTGAGCAGGAGGATGGACTAGATGACCTCCTGAGGTCCTTTCCAACCCTCATTTTCTATGATTCTATAGCTACTTGTTAAGCAACACTGCATGTAGCAGGGCCATTGATAATTTGGCTCTTCCTGCGTGTTGACATAGCCACCTATAAACTTGCCAAGGGGGACCAGCAGGCAATGGGAGAGTCCCTGTTCCTCCGAGCACTACTGGGAGTAACAAGGAATAACAGCCATAAGCTGACTGAGAGTAGATTCAGACTAGACATCAGGAAGCACTACTTCACAGTCAGGGCGGCTAGGATCTGGAACCAACTTCCAAGGGAAGTGGTGCTCGCCCCTACCCTGGGGGTCTTCAAAAGGGGGCTAGACAATCACTTAGCCGGGGTAATTTGACCCCAGCATCCTTTCCTGCCCATGGCAGGGGGCTGGACTTGTTTATTTGTTGGCCCATTGTGTACCGAGAGGGAGGACTGGAAGTCAAGAGCCAGATCAAAATAATAAAAAAGGTTTATGAACCTGGAACAGCACATCCATTGGGTTTGAGGTGCCAAATTGCTAAATTATCACTTAAAATAACTACCACAAAGGGCCTAATTCATAGAAGCATAGAAAAGTTAGGGTTGGAAGAGACCTCAGGAGGTCACAGCTAGTCTAACTCCCTGCTCAAAGCAGCACCATCCCCAACTAGATCATCCCAGCCAAGGCTTTGTCTAGCCAGGTCTTAAAAACCTCCAAGGATGGAGATCCCACAACCTCTCTGGGTAACGTTTTCCAGTGCTTTACTACCCTCCTAGTGAAAGTTTTTCCTTATATCTAACTTAAACTTCCCTTGCTCCAACTTGAGACCCTTGCTCCTTGTTCTGTCATCTGCCACCACTGAGAACAGTCCAGCTCCATCCTCTTTGGAACCACCTTCAGGTAGTTGAAGGCTGCTATTAAACCCCCTCCCAGTGTTCTCTTCTGCAGACTAAATAAGTCTGGTTCTTTCAGCCTCTCCTTAGAAATCATGTGCCTCAGGCCCCTAATGATTTTCATTGCCCTCCACTGGATTCTCCAGTTTATCCATGTTCTTTCTGTTGTGCGGGGCCCTAAAGTAGACAGTATTCAGGACGTGTCTACCCAAAAGTAGACACAGTACTCATCAGTGCCGAATAGAGGGGAAGAATCACTTCCCTCGATCTGCTGGCAGTGCTCTTACTAATGCAGCCCAGTATATCGTTAGGCTTCTTTGCAACAGGGGCACATATTCAGCTTGTTGTCTACTAACCCCCAGGTCCTTTTCTGCACAGCTCTGGCTTAGCCAGCCAGTCCCCAGCCTGTACCGGCACATGGGATTATTCCATCCTAAATGCAGGACATTGCACTTGTCCTTACTGAAGATTTCTTTTGGTTCAATCTTCCAATATGTCTAGTTCTCTCTGATTCCTAGCCCTACCCTACTACTCCCCACAACTTGGTGTCATCTGCACACTTGCTGAGGGTACACTCCATTCCATTTTCCCAGTCACTGATGAGGATATTGAAGAGGACAGGCTGCAGGACCTACCCCTGAGGCACTCTACTTGCTACTGGCCTCCAAATAGACATTGAGCCATTGACCCTTTAAGCCCAACAATATAGCCAGTTTTCTGTCCACCTAACAGTTTTATTCATTCAACCAACCCGTACTTTTTTAGCTTACTTGTGAGAATGTTGTGGAAGATGGTATCAAAAGCCTTGCTAAAGTCAAGGTATGTCATGTCTACTGCTCTCCTCACATCCATAGAGCCAATCATCTCATCATAGAAGACAATCACGTTGATCAGGCATGACTTGCCCTTGCTGAATCCATTAATCTGCTTGTAATCATTTTGTTATATATTAATCATAACATTTTGCACCTACAAATTACTTATCATTCAGAGAATTCCAAAGTATATTAAAAAGGGTGAAAGGAACTGCTCTACATTTCAAAGACTTTTCTGGCATGGTTCTTTTAGCAAAGCCCCCTGGTGGTGGAACAGCTTATGGTAGTAAAAGAAGTTCTCTTGCTTGTGTAGCTAAATCACTCCCTTCTGTGTCCACTAATGCTGAAAATGGTACTGTCAAAAGGACTCATTTATCAATAAAAGTTGTACCAACATGAGAGATGCACACATAGCTATGTAAATTAGAAGTGTATTTTTTCCACACTCCTAAGCACCAGAGCTAAGACAGTAAAGTTCTGTAGTATTGTCCTGGCTGTACATATGTGGCTTCCACTACTGATCTACACATCCAAGGAGAGTGGAAAGAGGCTCACAAAGAAAAGGAACTGGGTGGACTGACTCAACAGCGTGAGCAGCAGAAAACTAAAGATCACCTGTAAGTTACAGGACAAAGAAAATTCCTAGCTGAGGAACAAGGGGAAAGAATAAAGAGAGGGAAGTGGTAAGGAATAGGGAATATGGGGGGGGGGGGGGGGGAAGAAAAG